AATTTCTGTTGTTTAGATTTAGATTTATTTTATTTGTATGCCGCCCTTCTCTGGGAGGGATTCAAGGTGGCGAACAACTCAAAGGGGAAAAAGGGGAACATAGAACACAATACAAGTAGTTAAAATAGCCAATGCCATCTGGCTACTACCCAGGGGAGGGCCTTCTCTGTGGCTGCGCCGGCCCTCTGGAACGAACTCCCCGCAGAGATTCGGACCCTCACCTCTCTCCAGGCCTTTCAAAAAGCTGTCAAAACCTGGCTTTGCCGGCAGGCCTGGGGTTGATGAGTTCCCCTCCCCTCTCGACCTGTGTGGTAGTGTGATTCTTGGCTATTTTAACTACTTGTATTGTGTTCTATATTCCCCTTTTCCCCCTTTGAGTTGTTCGCCACCTTGAATCCCTCCCAGAGAAGGGCGGCATACAAATAAAATAAATCTAAATCTAAACAACAGAAATTTTGGGCTCAATTCTGGTCATAAGCCGAGACTACCTGTATGCATCTCATGCTTCTAACGTACAGTACTGCACTCTAAAAGCTTCTTTGTTCTTTAAGATGTCATCAATTCATTTCCCAGGTAACAGACAGGGGAAGAGAAAAGCTAGGCTAAAGGTTTTGAACTCATAACTTGGTAATACGTAATGGAAATAAAATTAATATGGATGATAATTCCCCATCGTCTTATTCAAGACCATGCCAATTTTTTACGCTCCAAGATTCTCTTTAAATGAGAAGCTAAACAATTCTCAAGGTCTTTAGAAGCAGATGGATTTTTCTTCTTCTAAAACATTTTCAGTTCAAAAGTGCTTCCACGGAAACAGGTATGTGATGGGGGAAGTTATTTAACCCCATTCAATTTCTGTTTTCACATCATTTACTCGCTGTTCTGACATAATGCTTGTGTACTTGCCCCTTGAAAGGCTAGTTGGTGATGAAGATTGGGGTATTACGCAGACCCATGGTTTGTGTTTCTCTCTGCCCATTTCTAAATAATTATTACAGGATTTTTCAAAAGTATTTACAATCACGATCACTAACCTCTACATTTCTGTCTAAAAAAATCTAGGTGAATAAGCAGTTTTATAAACCTACTAGCTGATAACCCTGCATTGCCTGGGTTGTTATAGATGTCGAAGTGTTTGTCTGACAGGGAGCCCATGCGCTCCTCTTTCCCGCCCCGTCTACGATCCTGACTCTCCCATGCGCTCCTCTTCCCCCCCCCCCTACGATCCTGACACTTTGCCCCAAAGTTTGTCTGATAGGAAGCCATTGAGAAAGGCCTTTCTTCCCCCTACTCCCATGCCCATCATCCCTGCCCTCTCCCTTCCTCCTCCCATGCGCTCCTGTTTCCAGTTTGCTTTGGACAAACTGTTAACATTTTAAAAAGAAAAGTAAAGCAATACTGTACATTCAGAGAGGAATATACAGTATGCGATAAATGAAAGTTCTAGGGAATCAATTATCAGGTTTTGCTCTCTCTATGACACTGTTCTATCAATTAACACCCTGGAGGGCAGGATTGCACCTACTCTTGACTGGCAACATTTAATAGGAAGAAACATGTGAACTCTCAAAAGAGCTTTCACCATTTCAAATTCCTCACCTGAGACAGGCTCAAGTGTCCGTGTAGATGTCCTTCCATATCACACTAAGCTATAATATTGGCTTTGAACATCTGGAGAACCTGTCCATTGTAGTTGGGACACATTGGATGAGAATGTTAATAAGCCAGGGTTAAAATTATAATTCAGTGTAGTACATGAGTCCAGCCACAGCTTGGCTAACATTTCCCCCTCTTCACTTCATGACTGCACCATTTGTCCCCCTCTCCAGGCATTCTTAACAAATCATACACATACCACACAAACATTTGGGGAATGAAAGAATTACTCCAAAATTGGGGAGTGTGTTTTTTGTATGTTTGTGTGTGTGTGTGTGTGTGAGAGAGAGAGACAGACAGACAGACACACACACACACACACACACAAAGAACCAGAGAAACACTAAAATATTTTAAAAGAAAGAACATAGCTTTTCAAATGAAGAAAATGCTGGAATTTGAGTTTCCCGTGTTCATCTTTCCTTCCTTCCTTCTTTCCTTCCTTCTTTCCTCCCTCCCTCCCTCCGTCCCTCCCTCCCTTCCGCCTTCCTTCCTCAGCTGTGATCGCACTCTTCTGCAAGCAATATGACATCATTAAGGACAACGATTCCAACAATAATAAAGAGAAGACCAAGCCTTCCTCAGAACATAGCACTCCAGAGCGGCCCACGGGGGGGCTACTACGTAGCAAGGTAAATACTGTTACTGGGCAAAGGAGGGGTGAGTGAAGGGTACAAGACTGATCTTATTTCAGATGGGTTGAAATTGGCAGGGAGAGATTCCCAAGCACACTGGACCATGAAGAGGACCTGGGACACAAGGTGAAAGGCTTTACTAGAGGTACCAGCATCATTCTTTACTACAATTATTATATGCCACATTCTCAATCCTCACTTAAGCTACAATGCAGTTTTTTCCCTACTTAGGATGTAATATGAACCTTATTGTATAAGGATACAAAGCTTTTAAGGATTAACATTTATTGTCAATTAAATCTGTATAGCCTCCCATCTCCCCAAAAATGATTCTATGCCAATTCAAGATCCACTGCCAGTTGGTGCCTAGAATTTTAAAGAATATAATAATGATAATAAATAATAACATACTCTCAGAGCTATTAGAATACCAGCATGGCAATATATTGAATGGAAGTGGACATCACGTAAGACATGAGGGAACGAAATCACTCCATCTTTCTATTATTTGCAAGTAATTGGGCTACATCTAGTAACCAAATATTATCAGGCTCTATTTTATGAACTTAGGATCTGTGTTTCAAACTCAGCACCAAGAAGCGCTGTTGTGTTCTGCCTTTTGAAGTCAGGCATAGGAGTCCATTTTTGAAAGACAAAATTGCTGCAGTCAGCCTCATAATAAAAAATCCACAACACTATTGGACAGCCATTTGTCCAGGATTCAATAAGATCTCCTACCTTGGGCAGTGGGTTGGACTAGAAAACCTCCAAGGTCCCTTCTAGCCCTCTGATTCTATAATTCTATGAAATTAACAAGAAAAAATATGTTACCCAGAATTACATATAGTTTGTAATGGTAGATAAAATGGATCATTATGTTTATTAGAGTTACATTCCACCTTTTCACCAGTGTTTACAGCTTGCATACGTCATTTCTTCACAATGAAGCTAGGCTGAAAGGAAAGAATGGTTCAAAATCCCCTAGTGAATTTTCATGGCTCAGGGTGAAACTAAGTTGAACTCAAGTTTTCCAGTCTCTGTTCAATAACATAACAATTATTTTTTCCATACAAAGCCCTGGTTGTCACATTCTTTTTCAAACTCTAAGGAAATCAGAAACTGCATGCCTGAATGCTTGAAAGCATTTTACTCATATTAAAAAGTTCTTCTAAATCTTATGTAAAAATATTAAAATGTAAATATCTGATTATGTGAAATGATACAGGAATTTTAACATCAAATGCAAATGTGTCAGTAAACAAAACAAGTTGTTGAAAGAATGTTGACGTACATATGTATATGAGAGAGAGAAAAAGAACACAATGGTTAATAGTCTCATACATTAAAAATGAATTTGAACATTTTTAGTCCTAGGGAGAAATACCTTTAAATGGGCATCCCACCATTAGGAGAAGTGTTAACCTAACCTTGATTCGCAAAACAATTGTAAGGGGGAAAGTTGTTGTTCATTGCGAAGTTGTGTCCAACCCATCGCAACCCATTGTCCAGCCCATGGACAATGTTCCTCCAGGCCTTCCTGTCCTCTACCATCCCCTGGAGTCCATTTAAGCTCACGCCTATTGCTTCGATGACTCCATCCATCCACCTTATTCTCTGTCGTCCCCTTCTTCTTTTGCCCTCAATCATTCCCAGCATTAGGCTCTTCTCCAGTGAGCTAGTGCAACAATTTAACTTTCTGATCAGCTTAATTTCAATAGAAAAAACTGGTGTATCTAGAAAATATTTTTCTAAAATGAAGACAAAAGGGTTACACAAGATTCCCTTTGGCAGAGAAATTTGGGCCTTTGTAGAAATATAAAAGGGATGTGGTGGCTCAGTGGCTAAGACACTGAGCTTGTCGATCAGAAAGGTTGGCAGTTTGGCAGCTCGAATCCTTAGTGCTGCAAAACAGGGTGAGCTCTTGTTATGTCTCCTGTTACTTGTCCCAGCTTCTGCAACCTAGCACGTAAAAAATGCAAGTAGAAAAATAGGAACCACTTTTGGTAGGAAAGTAACAGCGTTCCGTGCACCTTTGGCGCTTAGTCATGCCAGCCACATGACCACGGAGACATCTTTGGACAGCGCTGGCTCTTCAGCTTTGAAATGGAGATGTGACCGCCCCCTAGAGTCAGGAACAACTAGCACATATGTGTGAGGGGCTCCTTTACTTTTACCTTAGGAGAAATATCTAGCCTGAGCTTAATGCAAACAAAGAGAATTTTGTTCCCTTTCCCCATTCCCTGACATAGGAAACAATTTTTAAGAAGTTGGTTCAATTATTGTTGAGAATCAGCATGCATATTTAATATATTATGATTGACTGCAGGCAACCAGATGTTTAGATTGGGTTTGGCATTTTTGTCCATCTATTGGTCCTTTCCACAGATTTGGGATAGGCAGATTTTTAATAATATTAAGAGTTGTCATGGGAACCAAGTAAATCTGCCTTTGAAATTGACTGATGATGATTTCGTTCAAGTAGTGCCTCAAATGTTTTTGAATTGTACCAACGGCACCTATCCTGTTTTCCTGAAAATAAGACCTCCACAGATAATAAGCCCAGTCAGGCTTTTGAGGGCATGCACTAAAATAAGCCCTCCCCTGAAAATATTGAAACACAGCAGCAGGCATGAGGTGACCACACTCGCCACCTCCTGCACCTCATAAATAATAAGACCTCCCCCAAAATAAGGCCAAGCGCTTTGGGGGGGACCTTGTCTTATTTTCAGGAAAACATGGTATTAGTATTGGTATTACCTTTGTTTTCTTTTGCAACAGTCATTCTATTTCTATCTTTAGATGTTTTGTGATATTTATCTGTGTTTTCTCCAATTCTTTCTCTTCTATTATTATTCAGTTAAAATATGGTATGATATGTTGGAGGAGAGAAAAAGAAATGTTGCCTAAAAATGAACTGTCGGAAAACTTCTCTGGCCAACCATACAGCAAGCAATATATGGTTAAATATTATATAATATGCTGGTTTGGAGAGTTAAAAAAAAAGAATATCATATGTTATCAGAGTAATCTACAGAAATACAGGAAATTGTGTTATATCAAGGTAGACTGTTGTGTTGCCATTGTGGTTAAACATCTGAATGGACACTTTTCAGCTTGGATGAGTCCTTCAATCATTGAGCAACTTGTTCTGACCTAGGCTTCTCCAGCAGCACAAAGCCGAGTCTTCGTCCCAACAAATCCCCTTTATTTAATTTACAGTGAATTGTTCTCCAGCAAAGTCTTTCTTCTCCCACGGTCTTTCAAGATAGTACACAATTACTGACCTTTATCAGGCTTGGAGAGTGGCCAGGCCAATATCTCTCAGCACCACAAGAATGCAGGAATGAACTAATTGTCTCCTGCAAACACCCATCCCCTTTCTCTCCTCTTTTATTCCCTGTGGGAAGGGACATTCACCGTTCACCTGTGGCCTTACTCCCAAGTCGACCCTTGTTCCTTAGCTGTTCCCTTCATCTAGCAACATTGCACATGCGCACACGGGAACAGGCTTCAGCTGTTTGTCTGCCTCACTGATGTCTGACTCTGAAGGCAGCTGATAACTGTCAGATGGCCCTGGCCCCCACTCTGCCTCAAACACAGACCACTCGTCAGAGCCTTCCCCAGACTCCAGGACTGGCCCATGTTCCTCCCCAACCTCCTCACTGTCCGAATCTGCTGCCAGCTCCACTGGCCACTAGCGGGCCACAACACAACTTTCCCCCACCCAGTTCAGTGTGCCCAGTAATAATAATGGGTGATAAGAGTTGCTCTGAAATGAAATGGGCATAGTGGAAACAACTGAAGAATAAGAAGAGATTTAAAGTAAGAGGAAAGCATGACCCTTAGTATAAACAAGGCAAACATTGGTTTAGTTCTAGGGGAATGTAATAAAGGTTTCTCAGAAAAGATGAATTTTGAGAAGAAATCTGAAAATAGGAAGATAACATTTCCAAAACAATTATGGAGGGAGAAAGAGTGAAATGTCTCCTGAACCAGTTTCTGGAGTGATTATCCAAACAGCTTCCACAGACTGGCAATAGCAGTATGATGGAGGAGATGATTTTTTTAAATGTTGGTTGTAAATAATTTACAAGTTTCCTTCCCCATCTACACAATACACAAGAAGTATTTGACTCATCATTATACTGTAACATTAAAATCACAGTTTAATTAGCCAAATGTAATTAATTTTACCAGTATATAAAAAGAAATTAATACTTTACTCAGTTGCATTCTTTCGTTACCTTCTTCCATCTTGGAAATAAGGAGGAAAGAATCTTTTCAATGTAGCTAGAGAGAGAAAAGGACAGCATGATAAATACTTAAATGTACCAACGGAAGATAAGAAAATGTATTATAGGAAGAAGGGGCAAAGGAGAGGAAAAACCTACAAAGGAAACCCTTCTTTTAACATTGCAGGATGAGAATGTACTCATAGAGTGGAAAAACTGTTGTTCTTTTCTTATCCATTATTAAACATTCTTCTTCTTAATTCTATCAAGATTGCCTGAAGAGAATCAAGAACCACCAGTATAGGAGAATAAAGGATAAGTTTTTGCTGGCACATGCTTTGCCTCGTACTTATACCTGTGGCCCATGTTCAGCCTTTCAGGTTAAGATAGCCTCTTACCCATACTTTTATACAGTTTTGAAATTTATGCAGTCACTTTCATTAGTTTTGTATTATCATATATTATCTATTATACCATCTATCATTATCTTTACCAGAGGTGGGTTTCTTCCAGTTCGGCCCGGATAGAACGAAGTGGTAGTGGCAGCGGTGGGAAGCTCCACCCACCCGCCCGGAAACTTCCGCGCTTGCGCAGAAGCGTTGCAAGCACACAAACACGAGCAAACTAGTAGTAAAATAAAGTGAAACCCACCACTGCTCTTTACCTTATCTTACCCCGTGTTATTTTATTATTTGAATGCTTTCAAATGGTACTATCATTTTGTAGCGGCCCAGAGAATATTAGCTATTGGATGGATAAATAAAATAGCATGAGAGGGACACTGGATCATATTAAGAGCCTTTTGTCCTGCATTATGTTGCCAGAGCAGCCAGGCATATATATGAAACGGATAGCAGAATATGAGGACAAGCAAACACTCTCTCCCATACATTTGAGTTTATTGCTTCCAAAACTGGTTGGTTAGGCACAATCCTTAGCAGCCATAGTTTAACATCTATGAATATGTAAAATCAATTTTACAAGTAATCTATGTTGGTAACAAATTGGTTCATATTTGTTTGAAAATTCCATGTTTTCATTTAGTAACTAATTAGTTAAGATATCATTGAACTGGGCTTGACTTCTGCTAGATATATACACAAACATTCCATATCTCAACTTGCTTTTAGTAACAGCATGCACATGATCCAGGCACAACATTGCAGCAAGCTACAGTCATGTGATCGCCATCTGAAGCCTCCCCTGTCATCTTTTCACAAGGAAAGTCAATGGGGAAGCCGGCAGGGAAGATCATATTGCTCCTATAAGTGACTCCCACCCTTTTTTTCCCCCAAGGACACCCACTGTGGAATACAAGATCCCAGGGATTCTCTTACCTGTCCACACTCCATAGCAGCCCCTGCCAGCCAACCTGTATCTGTACGGTCTGGCTGCAGCCTCCACTCCAATGCTCAGATGTGCCCACCTACAGCCCCTTCCAGTCCACTCATGCTTCGCAGTGTCCAGCTACAGCATTCCCACCCATGATCCATTGTCTGTCCATGGCACCCCTTACACACACACACACACCTTGAGACTCCCACCTTTTCCCACTTTAGCAACCTGAGGTTATGATGGCAACCAGGACTGCCAGCATTGCGGTCACTAAGCAATGAGGTCCCATGTCATTGAGGTTTATGACCGCATCACTTAGCGATGGAAATGCTTGGGTTACAATTGCCATTGTAACCCCAGGACTCCTGCTATTCTGCAGTAAGAGTTTAGGTGGCTTTGACCCTTTAACAGATTCTCTTCATTCCAAACTCTTCTCTTGTTGAGCACAACAGAGGAACAGAATCAAAGAAATCAAATGGACAGAAAGGGAAATGGAAGTTTAGAGGAGTTACCACTGCACTCTTTTTTAACTTATCAGTATAAACATCTCTCTCTCGTACAGAAGAAATCACCATCTATCAATATCATTGAAGTATAGCTGTTGCCACACAGGCTCGAAGCACTCCAGAAGGCTGCTGGAACATTGCTGGGCCCTGGGTCTGGCTCTTCACCTGCATGCAAAGAATTAAAGCTTCTTGCCCTGAAGGAGGGATCTGCATGGAGCCAGCTGCCAAGACAAGGTGCATGTAGAAGCTGGCCTCTAACTAACCTCTCGTCCTGAAGTTGTAACAGAAACAAGCCTGGGCCACAAGGAACAGCCAGCTGCAATGCCTTCAAACCAGCAGCAGGAAGTGCCGCAAAGTGCTAACCTGGGAACAGACTTGAGTGAAGATTTCCTCCCTGCTGATGTGGGAAGCAGCATTATATTGGGCCACGTTTTCCTTCAAGCCTGAATG